ATAACCTGAAAATAGCAACGGATGAATTTCACAGTCTTCAGAAGTTGGCTAGATCCCTTAATTGCTACATACTGTTGCACACTCTGCATTAGTTCCTGACCACTGAAGTTGTGTCTCTTTTTTTCAAGGAATTTGAATGGGAGAGAACTGAAGGAAACTCTTAGAAGTCTGACCATCTTTCCTATGATAAGAACTAAAACCAGATGATGGGTAATGCTTTTAAAAGCAAACTAAATCAAATTCCCCTAATTATTAAGGGTATATGAGTTTTGTAAAAGTCAGAAGTTTTAATTCCAAAATGTAAGTGAAATTACGTTCTGACAATAATGGAATAATTTTTGATTTAGGAAGTATTTGTGTAGGTAACATACTTAGACTAAGCACTGTTGGTAATTACTAGGAATATGATACAGCCCTCCATGAGAGAGAACAAAAGGATATATATACTGTAATTTTAATTTTTTTTTTAAGTGATGGTTTAAACCCCCTAGAATGCAGTAGAGGTAATGTTATGTTACTTTCCTGTGTGTCCACCCCAGCAAAATTACTACCCCTATTTCAGCAACCAACAGTAATGGCACGGATGCAATCGTACTTATCTTTTCATATAAGACCTTATGTGTTAAGTTTAATCAGGATTTCATAAAAGCAGTAAAACCCAGAGCCCTTTCCACACTAGCACATGCACCTTTACTACTATCGGTGCAGCTGCTTTGTTTCTGGCAGTTGCTGAAATACTAAGTTTTATGTAGGTGAATATGGTAAATCCCAAGTTGAATTCCTGTGGAGGTTTCTGGGAACAGGGAAAACTGCTGAAGGGAAGTAGATTTGAATCAGGGAAGATAAGGTTTTACATTGGCAAAGAATGCTCTTTGGATTATAATTCCTATTTTAGAGTACATTTGGAGAAGAGGGAGATGGCATTGTATTCCAAAACTCCTATGGTGCTTCACTGAAGTAAAAAATTCACAAAGGTCTGATTTGGCTGTTTTATTGCTGAATGTTCAAAGGTCTATGTTGCTGGAACACACTTCGTTTGGGTAGGATTAAGTTTACATATATGTATTTTATACCTGTTTTTGATTTATTAGTTTGCTGGTACATGTTTAGGTGCAAAAAAGTTAAATAGTTTGGTATGCTACTGCTATGCATGGTCGAGAAATGAACTATGGAGAGCATAAACAGGAAGTGCTGAGGCTTGTAACTTAATGCAGGAAGTATGAGCATGATGTGCATTTTGTTGACATTCCCTTTAAAGGAATTTTACCATTGCTGGGTATCTCCTGAAAAACCACAATTTTTCACTAGTACAGCTATTTACAGATTAAACTGTAAAACAGAATACCTATTTGTCAGTCAAGGTATAAGGGGTACATACAGTCTAACTTGGTGCACCTTGAAAGCATACTATATTGAGGAACAGAGGGAGTTGTTGAAGATTCTTGAAGATCCACAGGAGATACCTCTTACCCTAAAGATCTATCTTGTTCCTCTCTGGATGAGGAGGTGACAGCTGCTCCAATATCACCTCCCGATGACGTTGAGTTCTTTCAGGAGTTACTGGGAAGGATAGGGAGAGCAGATAAGTTGACACTCTCCATTCCAATTTGCCAGACAGATTGGCAATGCAAATAAATGGAGTCGTAGAAGCCTGTAAAAGATCTATGGCAGACTTCAGCCTCTCTACTTCCAATATGAAATGAGCAGAAGAAAAGATACCAAGTCACGCAAAAGATATTTCAGTAGTTCTACTTGCATCTGACTCCTAGCTCCCTACTGGTATCTGCACCACAGGAGAAATCCAAGCAGACAGGACCACCTAAAACCACGCTCCTGAGGACAAAGATCCCTAGAGATTTGACCTCTTAGGTAGAAGGACCTACACTCGGGCATCTCTTCAACTACAGACAGCCAGCTGTCAAACCCTATTTTCTAAATATGATTGTTTAGCATGGGACAGACTATCACTGTTCATTGAGCTCCCCTAAGAAGCTAGGGCTGACCTGATAGCCATTGTTTAAAAGGAACAATTAGTAGCCAGAACTTGACTCCAAGTGGCCTGTTCCATGGCCATAGATATCACCATGAGAAGGGCATCCTTATTACACTCCTCAAAGATTCTCAGAAGTCCAAATGACTAAAGAAGATCTCCACTTCAAAAGTCTGGCTCTGTTGAGCTCCTGCATGGATGAGTTCTTGCATATTGTTAATGACTCTAGAGTTGCTCTGATGTTATGCTTATAAGAAGCACACGGAGGGGGGTGGGATAGCTCAGTGGTTTGAGCATTGGCCTGCTAAACCCAGGGTTGTGAGTTCAATCCTTGCCGGGCTACTTAGGGTTCTGGGGCAAAAATCAGTACTTGGTCCTACTAGTGAAGGCAGGGGGTTGGACTCAATGACTTTTCAGGGTCCCTTCCAGTTCTATGAGATAGGTCTCTCCTTCTCTATAAAATATTTATATTTAATCTTTTTAAAGGGGATAAGGCAATAGGCCACGTTTATGAGAATACAATTTAAGCATTGAAATTAGCATATGCTTACACACACACCCACACACACACCCACACACACCCCCCAACCAAAGGTTCTGCAGCTGGATCTTATAGTTACCAGTCCTAGGTGTTGCTCGGTCAGGTCCAGTGGCCAGGAGGGAGGGGGAGCTGGGCTCTGTCAAACGCGGCCAGCACATCCCTCGGCCTGTGCCGCTTCCCGCAGACCCCACTGGCCTGTAGCAGTTATCCGCGGCCAGTGGGAGCTGCGATCGGCTGAACCTGTGGACGCGGCTGGTAAACAAACTGGCCCGGCCCGCCAGGGTGCTTACCCTGGTGGCCACATGCTAAAGGTGCCGATCCCTGGTTTAGCATTATTTAGTTACCGGGAGGATCCACAGCTGTTTCTTATTTGTCTCTTTGGCTCAACTCCTTATCTCGTCCTTGGGGTGTATGCCTTTGCTTTAGGGTGGTCAATCTGCGATCCGGGTGATTGATAATAAAGTTGGTGCCCCTTGACTCCTCCACTCACTTCTTGATCATCCGGCCCAGTTATCCTTTCTCAGTTAATCACCATACATTCTTCACTCACACCAAACAGCAAGTAAGGCAATTATAGCCATAAAACTTCTATCCTTCTGAGAGCAAATGTTAACACAATCAGCAAAGAATAAACTCAGAATAATTTCTTCTTACTAATTCAAGGCTACAATTTCTTCTTACTAATTCAAAGCTAGCAAAATAATCAAAATGGAGTACAATTTTACTTGAGACAATTTCTTCCCATTAGGCTTTTGGCCTACACTGGGATCCCTGGATGTCTATACACCTGCTCCCAGGAGAAGACCTCTAAGATAACAGGGACAGTTCAGAAAGTTTCCTCCTATCAGCAGTAGTGCTTTATAGACTATTGCCACCTCCTCTTTGAACTCTTATCCAAGTGATCTCTTCACCATCTCACTCTTAAGTCTTCCTGGTGGCCATCACCTCAGCCAGGAGCATTAGTAAGATTCAGGCACTTATAGACACTTTCCTCGGGATAAGATGGTGTCTGGATGTTTGCTTTTCCCTCCCCCTCCCCCCCATTTAAACCATCAACCTCCTGTTTTCTTCTCCAAAGCACCCTGAAACTTGTGAGGAAGTACTTTATATGTTTTCAGAGTTTGTTTCTTTTTACTTAGACAGGACAAAGCCATTCAAGAAATCACCCTGTTTTTGGCATTGGGGAAGGGTGTGCAAGGTCAGGCCAACTCATCCCAGAGATTGTTCAATTCAGTGCATTACAATCTGTTACCAACTGGCAGATACGCCCTTTCCATCAGGAACTCAGGCCCATTCAACTAGAGCCAAGACTACCTCTTTAACATGCCTAAAATATTTGTGTATCTGAGATATGCAGAGCAGCCTTTTGGCACTCAGCCCACATCTTTATCAAAAATTATACCCTGGATTTGACGATGTGAGCGGTTCTTAGTTAGCTGTAGTTAAGACCGCCTAGTACTCACATTCTATTAATTTGGAACTGCTAGCTAGTCTCCATAAGAGGGATCCACACAAAACTCAGAGAAAGAACAGTTGCTTATCTTACAGTAATTGCGATTCTTTGTTTTGTTTGTGTGGATCCCAAAAGCTACAGATTACAACAGGGGATTGATCCTCAGGGCTCTTTGGTTCTATAGACAACTGTTTTGACCAAGTTACTTTGCTGTTCTTCAGATTTCTGCTTAAATGGGCATAATATATGCCTTCGTCATAAAATCATTGAGTCTTTATATTTATAAACCACTTTGATACTGAAATGAAAGTCATTGTAAATGTTTAACTTTGTATTATCTCTTTAGTGTAGAAGTAGCATTCATTTTGCAGTCCTTTTTTTTAAAATGGCCTGGAAAAAATCATGCTGTAAAGTAGAAATATAGTTGTTTCTCTGCTACTGCAGAATTTTATTTGAAGGTAGGTCTATTTGCAGTACTTAACTGGCTTTAAAATCTCTAATCATGGTGATTCCCTTCTTTAATTTTTGGCTAATATTGTCCAACACCTTTCTTTTTGCCTTTGTTAGTTTCATAATGTGATCAGAAAACTGTATAGTAAAAGTAGCTAAAGTCAAGAATGGGAGTTAAATTTCTGAACTTTTAAAGAGGATTTTATTCACTTCTCTGACAAAGGCAGAGGGAAAAAATATTTTCTGCTCTTCTTCATCTTTTTCAACCACCCTTCCTGATGGGAAAAAAATCTGCTTTTGACTATTATTTTCCTTTGTTTCATGATTGATGTCCAGTGGTGATTAAACTGTAAATCAGTCTCAGAAATAACCTTTTCCCCTTAACATATACACATTTATTTAAGGCTACTTTTAGTTTGTCTTGGAATTTTTAATTATTTTGGCACTTTTTCTTGACCAGTTATGTATTTTTTGTGCCAGGTGATAATAAATTTGAAAATTGTGATATAAATAAATGGTTAGATGAAATGTAATGTTTTTCAGGAATTGTTCTTTCTTTTCTTTAGGATAAAAGATTGCCCTCTCAGAGAAACTTAACCTGTGGGGTTTTGTTTCTTTTGGAGCAACAACTCAATGAACTGATGATAGCAGTTAAAGTGCATTTGGCAGCTGACTTTGTCACAGTAACAAGTGACTGCAAGAAGTGACAAACTGCAAAGGATTTCTATGTTCCCTGGCTACTGAGAATATGCACAATATCTCAGATATTGGAGTGGCTGCAGTTTCAACATAGAACAGTTTACTGCTTGTAAAGATGTCGGTTAGCGCAACGGAGAGTGACCCTCCTAGATTCTTTGTGGGTGGTGAAGATGGAGATGAATTATTGGATTCATCCAGATCTGTCAACTTCGATCATTTCTATGACCATGCAGAGGAGGAGGATGAAGAGTATGATTCTGTAAGTACTGTAGGAAAGTATCTTTTTAAAGGTATAGTTAATGGCATAACTTACTTTAAAATACTAAAGGCTGAGAAATATTATTCTCAGAATTTACAGGTACTGTGATTATAATATGCATTAGGAGTTTGATTCTGTTAGTTGCTGAGCGCATTAGACTCAACCCAGCAAAATATTTGAGCACATGCTTAACTTAAATAATGAGTAGTCTACTAAATTCAAAGTTAAGCATGTGCTTTAGTGCTTTGGTCGATTGGAGCCAGGCAGCTCAGAATCTTGCAGGACTGAGTCCTTTGTGCAACATGTAGAAATAAAGGCATCAATAAAAATAACTTTATGGCAGGGGTGGGCACACGTTTTGGGCCGAGGGCCACATCTGGGTGGGGAAATTGTATGCAGGGCTGGGGTAGGGGGTTGGGGTGTGGGAGGGAGTGTGGGGTGTGGGAGGAGATGCGGTGTGCAGGAAGGGGCTCAGGGCAAGGGATTGGGGCAGAGGAGGGGTGCAGGGTGTATGAAGGGGCTCAGGGAAGGGGGTTGGGGTGCAGGAGGGGGCTCAGGGTGGGGCTTGGGGTGCAGGAGGGAGCTCAGGGCAGGGGTGTGGACTGCGGGGGGGGCAGGGGTTTGGGGTGCAGGAGGGGTGTGGGGTGTGGCAGGTGGCTCAGGGCAGGGGGTTGGGGTGCACAGGGATGCAGGGTGCAGCAGGGAGCTCAAGTAGGGGGTTGGAGGTGCAGGGTGTACGAGGGGGCTCA